CATGCATGTCTTTGATATTCTGTAGTGTTACAAAAATATACTGACATTTTTCAGAGTCTGGCCAGCCCATCTGTGGTAATGGAATGGTAGAAGAGGGAGAGCAGTGTGATTGTGGATACAGTGACCAGTGTAAAGATGAATGCTGTTATGATGCAAATCAACCAGAAGATAAGAAATGCAAGTTAAAACCAGACAAACTTTGCAGGTATTGTATATTTGTTATATTATGCTTATTGAATTGTTCAGACTTATGGATAGGCTAGCAAGCTTTATTTTAGAAATATCTTCTATGAGGTATACTGTTTGACACTTGAAGTCTAATCTCACTTATATTGTTAGAATGTCCCTAATTTTACTAGTAACAATTAATTAATGGGAATTTCACTAACTATATTATGTTATTTTTTTAACTCAGCACTAATTTTAACTTTTTCTTAGTCAGCAACTATGAGACTACCTTATTCTTAGTTTTTTGGAAAAATGCATCATTTAAAACTTTCTAATTAACTACATTAAGTACATCTTAGGGTCCAGGATAGATAGGAACAAGTTGTGTTTAAAAATGTTGGTTGGTTGTAGTTATCCCTTGAGCTAAATTCAACCAGCTAACACACTTAAACATTACTGTCCTTGTCCCTACTCAGGGCAAAATCATATTTATCACATTAGTTATATCCTGCAAGGTAACACATTCATTTGTAGACATGGTCTTAAAAGAAATCCAAATTTATTAGTCCCTTTACTTGCTTATCTGATCTATCTTGGATGTTTTGCAGAAAAATTGAGCAGGGACACTCAGTATATCTTGTGCTTCTGAAAAGGGTCAGGTTGACAGCTCTTAAGACTGAAGGTCTCTCTCTAGCTAGAGGAAGGTGCAAATGTGCAGTGTCAGGACATACTTTTCCATGCAGCTTTGTTACCGTGGATTAAACCAGGTATGGTTAGGACAAATTCTGCTGATAAATTTAGTCTTACTGTTAATTCAGTCATTGACTCCTTTACTAAAACTGCCATGGAATGTTTAGTTTTTGTCAAATGTTCAGAATTTTATACTATGAACATCTGCCCGCTAGTACCTGGACTGAGGCCATACTTTAGGTGACTGTATTGTCATTGGCTGATTTCAGTACGTATATGTACCCTGGTAAAAATTCTCTGGTGGTCTTGAGCTAAGAAAGGCTGTGGAAACTGTAATAAATCCCTTGTCATTCCCTTGGTCTGTTATTCTTAATGTTAAGTAATATCAGAGATTTGCAAGGGGGAGGGCGGGAGAATCAATTGGATCCCTACCCTTTTTTCTCTTTCTGACTGTTGCTGTTGGGGAGAGAATAAAGAATGCAAGCAGATCAGAACCTTGACAAATCTAGAAGGCTATCTACGGGCTTGTGTCTGGCAAGCTGGGGTGTAAATCTATCCTACACTAGCCTGCTGCGCACTAACTCTGTGGACTCTGCTGCCGGACACTTTTATCTTCCCAGTTTCAAAACAGGGTAGATTGAAGTGCGTTTCAGAATTTTTAGCATGAGGGAGCAGGGTCCACACAGACACTTACTGCAGGGTAGATTTATACCCCTGTTTGCAATGCAATAAATGTTCCTGTAGACAAGACCTAATTTAAGAGCAGCATGAGCTTTTCTTGGCTCATAGCTATATAAGGCTGCTTTGTTCTCTAACCCCATTGCATGTGATATCTTTTTTTTCATCCTCACTGCTGCCAGAGTGTCTATGAATACATTAAACTTTAATGGCTTGCCAGACACCAGTGTTGAACTTCTGTTGAAGTGGCATTGATCAAAAAATCAAGAACTGGCACTAGAAGACAATTCAACTCGTGAAGCCTACATGATAGCAAAAATGGCTATAGTATCGTGTTCATCAATACAATTTGCATGCATAAGATAGCAATGTGACGGTAATGAGCCCAAACAAACCCTGTTTACAGCAGTAGACTTCCTTGGACCACTTGCTGCAAGTAATTACAAATGGCAAGATATATTGAAAAGTCTGTATTTATGAGAGAACTTTCAGGTAGAGGCTGGTATTGACTAAATATCTACCACATTTATTCAGAATTTGGTCATTTTCATAGCGTGCCATATGCAATACATTTCCTAGAAGGAAGGTGACTCAAGGATACAATTTGGTATCAAATAGGTTTTTCTGGCACTTGGGTTTTACATATCAAACTTCATCTGTGTTACCTTGTTTCTAGGCAATGCAACACATATGGCATGATATGAAACTGACCAAAAATATAGATACTTCCAGTAAATATATAAACTTTGCTTTAGTAGCTTAATATATATATAAAATAAAATCTCCTAAGCTATGTGCAACTTTTACCCATTTAAAATCTCAAAGAATATTTTACTTGGAGGATGTGAATGTGTCCCTCGAGAGAGAACCAAAAAATGAAATTGCCTAGCTTGGATTAATCCTCAAAAATGAGGGAAAATGGTAAAAGTAATCTGAAATTATATAAATTCATTGTTTCAGTAATGTTCTGTAACATTGGTAAATTACTGTTAGTGATGAAGGGTATGATGTGTCAGATTCTTTACTGTTTTGGGGTTCACACCTCAGTGTGAAAGGACTTCATCTTTAATTTTAAACTTCCTCGGGGTAGTGAGTTTAACTTGGGCAATGTTATCTGAACCTAAAATTTCACTTTTATGAACTTTTTATGAAGTTGCATCTGAAGAAGTGAGGTGTTTTATCCACAAAAGCTTATGCCTAAATAAATCTGTTAGTCTTTAAGGTGCCACCGGACTCTCTGTTGTTTTTGTGGATACAGACTAACATAGCTACCCCCTGATATTTGACTTTTACGAAGGTGTTCAGATGTAAACATGCATGCAAAAGTAATTTTTCTAGTGTAAGCAACGTAAATGGTGTTGATTTTCATAATTTAATCATTAAAGTTGAGACCAAGAAGACTGCTGGATGCAGAATACCAAATGTTTGTTACCCACAAAAAATCATTTTTCAGTTTAAATTTTGTTGGCACAAATTGGAAATAACAAAACTGACAATATTTTTGCATGCAGTTGTAGTTTTAAGTGGTATTCCAGTTAAATGTGCATATTTCTTAGCAAGTTCTACTTTATTCTATCTCCTTTAATCAATAAATCTTAAATTTAGAAGACTTGAACAATATTGCTATTCAGGGTACATTAGAAACACCAGAAAAAAATCTGCATTTTTCTGAATACATATTTTCTGTTTTTTTCTTTGTAGCCCCAGTCAAGGCCCCTGCTGTACTCCACAATGTAGCTTCAAACTCAAGACTGATAAGTGTCGGAATGATTCTGACTGTGCAAGAGAAGGAATGTGTAATGGTTTCACTGCTCTCTGTCCAGCATCTGATCCCAAGCCAAACTTCACAGATTGCAACAGACACACACAAGTTTGCATTAAAGGGGTGAGCTTAATGTTCAGAACTGTTGTAATAACCGTATATCGCAGAGCACAATTTTTGAAGCAATATGGCTTTATCACTTATTGAGGATAGTATAAGAGTATTGCCTTATTTTTCAGAAAACCCAGTGTGTTCTTAAAGAAGAAAAAGTAGTGGGAAGACAAATCTTCCCCATAGTTACCTTATTTTGAAACAGCTACTCTTTTAAACACTGCTTTTGGTAATATTCTCTTTTGCAGTGCTTGAGTTACTGGAGGCCAGGCCCCTCATGCTTTGAACTACCCTATTTCTCGCCTATTCCATGGTGCTGGGGGAGTAGAGTGTTTTGGCCCCCTTACTTCTCCCAACAGTTCCCTACAAAATGCTCTGCCTGGCCAAAGTGTATTCATGGCAAGCCAGGCAGAGCAAAGGAGCATTTGCTGACTGCGCACTTGCCAGGAATGTATACAGCCAGCCAGAGCAAGGGGGAGCATTAGCATATTGGAATCCTGCTAGTAGTTTGCACAACAATCCATTGCCCATAGGGAGTGTCTGTTTCATGCCAGCCTAGAAATGTGCCCACCACATCTAGTAAGGCAGGGAGAATCATAAAATTCCCCTGTGTGTGTATGTGCGTGTGTGCACAACTGCCCAGCACCAGCAGGGAACATCCCCAAATTTAGGTTAAGACCTGCTTCCTCTTCTGAATGCTCCTAATAGAGTACTCTGAGCATTCGAGGACAGAAGAGTTAACAGAACTGTTGGCCTTTAAAGTTTCATACTAACTGGGTAGCTCAGAGGGGTTACAGAACAGTCCTTTGAGCCAGGGTGATGGATTCTGCCTAAAAGTGAGAGGGCCGTGGCCCACAGCATTCTGGTGCTCCTGCTTTGAGCATGACCCAGCTAGTATCCATTTAAGTCCCACTTTGTGCAGAAATTTGGGAAAGTTTGGGAGGTGTATTGCAAAAATCTGTCCCTAGAAAGGTTTTGTTTTTATTTTGGGTGAATGTAACCAATATCTGTGTAAAAATATTATATAGAGAGAGAGAGACGTGAATGCTTGCTGGGGCAAGGGAAGAACTGTGAGGAGAGTAGGGGTGAAAGGTTTGGGGCTGCATTGAGGAGAGGGAAATAAATGTGAATGAGTGGTAGGGCAGGGGAGAGGATTGGAGGGTTCAGGGGCGGGACACTAGGAAAGGGACATGAGGAAGAACGGGGGTCGAGTGCCTCTTAGCCCCACATTCTCCCCTTATTTCGTGTGCCTTGATCTGGACAGTCAAGACAGTCTTCTTGCCCCCTTATGTGAGCTGGGATCTGCAAGACTCTGGCCCCTCAAGGGTGACTGAGCCCTATGCTTTGCCCCATTGCATGTGTGCCAGGATCTGGTGGACCTCTGCCCCTCTGTGGTGGTCTCACCCCCCCCGACCTCTTGGCATCTTCCCAGTTTGGGGGTGGGGGCTTGCTTTTCTGGGAGGGTCTGAGCCCATCTCCCTACCCCTCATGTATACCAGGATCTAGGGGTCCCCTGTGGGTCTTTCCCTACTCCCTCTCATGTGAGCCAGGTTCTGGGGAGGCTAGCCTTTCTGGGGATGTCTGAGCCCCACTCCCATACCGTCTCATGTGATCTGGTGGGGTCTCTCCCTCTTATGCGTGTCTGAGCCCTGCTCTGTGCCTCCTCCATGTGAGCCAAGATCAGGGAAGCACTTCCTTTCTGGATGGGGAGCTTAGAGCAGGCATGCTTGGCACGTACCCCAAGAACACACTGCTAAGACTGGGTGAGGAGCTTGAAACTCTGCAGCACTGGGGAGGGGAAAAGGAACACCCACTGACATGAATAGAGAGGTTCACAGGTTTCAGAGCCATTCTGTCAGGCTGAATTCCTCTCCAGTGTATTCTTTCAGCTGACAACATCTCATTGAGATGAATGGGCCACTTAACACCTCTCTGAGCCTGCAGCTTTGAAGTTAGAAACCCATCATGGGAGAGAATCTGAGAGTGAACTGTAAATATTTGGGGGAAATATAAATTTATTTATTTTGAAGAAATCTAACATGAATAGAGCAGAAAATTCAGAAGATGCTGAAAGTGGTTTTGGAGAGTAAATAAATTACACATGCGAAGGCTCACTGGGAGGGGAGGAAGGGGGGTAACTAGAGGTGCAAGAGTAGGTGGTAATTGGGGAAGGGGGTTGGGTATGCAGCAAGGGATGAGAATATTATGGGCAGGGGGATAAATGGAAATAGGCAGTAAGGGAGGGAAGAGAGGCTGGGGGCTCAGGTAACAGGATGGGTTAAGGATTGGTGAGTGACAGTGGAGAAAAAAGCAGGGGTTGCAAAATGAGGGTAACTGAGGAAGTTGAAGGTTTTGGGCGGGGGGCTGTCAGCCCTGAATTCTCCCCTTTCGTTTGTGTGCTGCAATCTCAGTGAGCCTCAGCCCTCTCCTTGTTTGCTGGGTTTTCTGTGATCTGGGGAATTGTGCTTCTCTTCGCGTGTGTGAGCCCTTTTCCCTGCCCCTCCCAGTGAGCTGGGATTCGGGGGGAGATGAAGAGAACATAAATTCAAACCTCTGAAATCCAGAAAACGAATACTTAAGGTACACATCATCCCTTTTTATTGGTGGGGGTGGGGGGGCATACTGACCAGTGTCGATGGGTCTGGGGCCCAGTTTTAAAGGAGGGGAGGCCTGGGTGGACCTGCAGCATGGTTTTGGGAAGCCTAAAGGTGGGTAGTGGGAATAAAGGTCCCTGCTCAATGATGCAGCTCAAGCTACATAACCCAGATAGCGTGCAATCCTCCAGTAAGCTGCTGCCTGTTATATTTATGCAGCAGCATAGGGCAGGAGACAGCAAGAAGCAACTTCTTTAATGTTAATTGCTTCTACTGTGCCAACTAAAGGCTTAATAGGCTGGGAAGTGGTAGGGGAGTTGGAGACATTGGTGGGGTGGTGACGTCGTGGGATGGGGGTGGAAAATGAGACCCAAACCAGTCTTTTCTTTCCCACTTAAAGTTACTGTTAACAACCATATAACAACACTGTTGTTATAACAACACTGTCAAGGTTTTGGGACATAAAAACATTTCATACATTTTAAACCATGGCCATTATCCACATTCTGCTATAACAAAATATCTAAGAGACAGGAGGAGCACTGAGGAATCCCATAACTGTGAACAGACATTGGTCTGGAATTATTTCTGGCTCCGCCACTATCCTGCCAGGCAAGTCACTTCACCTCTCTGTGCCTCAGTTTCCCATCTGTAACATGGGGATAATGATGTAAAGTTATTGGAGATCTCCTGATAAAAAGCACTATATAAATACTAGGTCAATCTGCTGCTTATTATATAGCCACAATAGCATTTCAACTGCAAACCTAGGTAAGAACAACTGACCACTAACTCCTACCACCAAACATTTTTTCTGTTTAAAAAACAACACTGGGCAATTAAATGGCAATCCAGTATACATTTAGGTGGTATCCTATGTGCAAGTGCAAAGGGGTTGTAAGAGGGTATGAAGTGGTTAAATTTCACAGTTGTGGTATTCTATCAGAGGTGGGGCATAGGGCAAATGCAGGTAGTGTCTATCCATTAGAGCAAAAAGACAGAGTGCAAGTAATGTGTTATGGGCATTGTCGGGCATCGCTCAAAGAGGGCAGAGTTAAGGTTGCATGGGCATTTACCGTAACTGTATTTCCTGGTTTTCAGAAGTTTGTTTTGCTGAACTTGGCATTCTGGAAGGGCACTAGCTACCAATGGGCAACCTTAACTCTGTGTATTAATGAATTTTTTGGCATTTTATTTCCAAGATGGTCAGAGAGTACTTTAAAACTGCTAATACTGTAGGGGACCATGCAGAGCAATCTAGCCCAAGAAGGGAACATCTTCAAAGTACTACGGCCCCCTCCCCCTGTTCTTTTTTCCCATAATTTGATCACTGCTCATTTGCTTGCTTCAGAATTTGATTTTGTGATCATCCAAACATTGAATTACATACAGTATTATAGACTTTCCTGCTACTGATTTTTTCCCCTAAAGGAAAGAAGACATTGAAATGCCATATCTTTCACACTCTTGAGCTATTTTTATTTTCATGAATGGCTATTCCAGTTCTGTGGCCTTGATTTAGAATTTTTTTGTACATATTGCTGTGCTATGTATTTGTTGCAACTCCCGTTTTGCATGCCTCCCCCATTTATTGGAATAAGGCATACCAAAGAACCTGATTTTGAATTATTCTTCCTCCTTTTGTCTCCAATAGCAATGTGCTGGTTCTATCTGTGAGAAGTATGGTTTGGAGGAATGTACATGTGCTAGTTCAGATGGCAAGGATGATAAAGAGTTGTGCCATGTCTGCTGCATGAAAAAAAGTAAGATTTGCATGCTTCTAAACACTAATACAATAGTAAATCTCTCAAGGTTTACTAGACTTTTTTTTATTTAAAGTCACCTTTGTGGTTTAAAAATATTTGAGTAAGAATTACAGCATGTGGAAAAACACAAAGTATAATTCAGTGTTTGTTCATAATAGTACATAAGTAATAATGTGCTTCTCCCTTAAAGATACTCAGTGGACCTTAAGAGTAAAATGCCCATTTGATAGGCCATTGATACCGTATACACTCGATCATAAGCCGGTTCGTTTATAAGCCAACCCCCGCATGATGGATAAGTAAAAATGGAAAATTTTTATGACCTATTCATAAGCCGATCCTATAATTCAGGGGTCAGCAAACTTTGGCTCCCGGGCCATCAGGATAAGCCGCTGGTGGGCTGAGATGGTTTGTTTACCTCGAGCGTCCGCAGGCATGGAGGTAAACCTTATGTAAACAAAGTGTCCTGGCGTGCCAGCTGCTTACCCTGACGGTCCGGGACAGCAACTGGTGGGAAAACTTGGGGGTGGAGGGGAGAGGGCGCGGGGGGGGAGTGTAACCCCTGTGACCACCTCCCACAGGACCCCATCCCTAGCCCGGGACCCCCACACACTCCCCATCCCATCCCTTACCACCTTATCTGGGGAGGATGTCTCTGGCCTGGCTGGAGCTGCTCCAGCAGGCTGGGCGCTGCGGCCGCAGCCTGCTCTGCGGGGCGGGGCCGAGCAGCATGGCTGCAGTTTGCCAGCCCCAGAGCTACAGCTGCTTCGGAGGCTGGGGGGAGAGCAGCGTGGCCAGAAACAGAGACTCTGGCCCTGCCTCTTCCCTTCTGGCTCTGCAGGTTGTGGTTCCTTGCTCCCTCTGTTGGGGGGGAGGGACTGTGTCCCACCTCTCCCTCTGTATACCCATTCATAAGCTGACCCCCTCTCTGTTGCTTCCTTTTTTTACTAAAAAAATTCAGCTTATGAATGAGTATATACAGTATGTCATAAATATTTTTGTTTTTCAAGTTCATAGTTACCTTCATGAAAGACAATTACATTACCACTTCCTGATAAGTTTTTTAATAGGGTAAGAATTTATTTTTAGTGGTGTGTTGGATATTCTTTTACACATTCAGGCATGTGCAAGGTATTTTGTTATAAACTTGTCTTGAAATAAAATCCAGTCTTCAATTATATTCACTTTTTTCAGTGGATCCAATGACTTGTGCAAGTACGGGATCTAGTCAGTGGGAGCAGCATTTCCATCTCAAAACCATTACGCTTCAACCTGGATCCCCCTGTAATGATTTTAAAGGCTATTGTGATGTATTCATGAGATGTCGGTTAGTAGATGCTGATGGTCCTCTAGCCAGACTAAAGAAAGCAATTTTTAATCCAGAGCTGTATGAAAATATTGCTGAATGGATTGTGGTAAGTATCTTAATGGTTTGGAAACCTAAGCATAAAAGAGTCCTGTAAAATGGATTGAATATATTCAATGTTTGTGACTAATGATAAACATGACTATATATGCAGTATTTCAGTGTTCTCTTAAGGTATGTCTACACTGCAGTAAAACACCCACAGCTGACCTATGACACTTTGCTCAGACTGCTGTGATATAAAATTGCAGTGTAAACACTTGGGCACAGGCTGGGTTGCCAAAGGTCCCAGAGCCTGATTGTCTACACTGCAATTTTATAGTCCACAGCACAAGCCCCATGAGCCCGAGTCAGCTGACACACACCAGCCACAGGTGTTTTACTGCAGTGTAGACATACCCGTAAAGTACATTCTCAATCCTTACTCTTTGGTCTGCTTCTTCACACTCATAATCCAACTAGCAAGCTTAGCAGGTAAAGTTCAATATCCTTTGGAGACAAATTGAAGCAAGTGGCTTATGGTATGTGTAGTACGATATTGCTTCTAACCATGCTAATATCTCTTCATTTTACTGAGTGGTCACCTTAATTTTTTAAAAATCTGACATTTTTTTCCAGCTCTTAACACTTTTGTCCTCCTATGTAGGTGCTCAGTTCCTCAGAACATCAGGGCATAGGAGCTTTTTGCATATCTTTTGATCCCTTACCCTAAAGGGATTATACTTTTCCAATGAAGTATCCAGCAGATAGAGCTGCAAGGAAACAAGGGTGGCTTTCCATGTTGGACTTCTCTGTTCACCTTTGTGTTAGGTACATCTATAGTTTGTCTGTATAGTTCATTCATTACATGTGTCTATGGTACCAGATTTTTCACTGTAAATCTTAACCAACATATGTGTCATTACCATCCATTCATTTCAAAAATATCTGTCAGAACTTCATAAATGAACTATACATAATCATAACTGTATACCGTCAACATAGTTTTAAAATGTCTGTTCAACAGTATATTTTTGTTGAGCCCTTTATTAGATGCATATGATGCTAAGTGGATTCATCTCCACTCTGAGGCCAAATATTAGCTGTGTATTTTCACTATACTAACATTGTCCTTTACTTGGTGTGTTTAAATAGGTGTGTGAATGTTAGCCTATACACTTCCACAGTGTTCTTATAGTGTATATTTAAGACTCAGTCAATTGTCTGTTTTAGGGTTTTATACTGCCACCCGTCACTGAGGAATCTGACAAAATCCTTAGTGGACATTGAATCTCTGGCACGTCTCTCTCTTTATTTTTTATATTTTATTAATTTTAGATTTGTTTTGGGATAACTTCTGATTTTGGTTGGGTTTTTATGAGTAGAAGGGGGTATTAATGTTAGTGGTGTTCTTGTAATGGAAAGCCTTCTCTGAAGGGGTAGGATTGGCAGTATTTCCTAAAGACAGTCAGAGTCAGGATATGCTCATTTTGCTCTGGAAGCTTGTTTTGTAGCCACGCGCCTTAGATTGAAAATGCTTTGTTACTAGCAATCCTGTTTTTCATTCTGGACTTTATGATCTGCATTGTCCCAGAAGAACACAGCTACTTCTGTGGTTCAGAGGTTAAAATTCAGTCTCTGTTGTAGCTAGGACTTAATCAATTAAATGTTTTGAAGATCAGGACCAAAGATTTAAACTGGTTCCGGGTCAGTTTCTCATGCCAATGGAGGGACTTGAGTACAGGCTCATTGTGCTCCTGATGGCCTTACCTATGGGGAAGGTGGGCAAGTCTTCTGTACCAGCTGAAGCTTGTGCCTAGATTACCTTTGTAATGTCATTGATCTGTTTCTGTTTCCATTGTATTTTTGTGTACATTTACTAGTCAGTTTTGGTTTTAGTCATCTTGAAACTTATTTTTTTACTTGGTTTCCTTTTATGACCTAATTGTGTATGGTCACAATAACACTGAATACAAAGAGCAACTGAAGAAAAATATGATGTATAAAGAAAAATTTGAGGATCGTGCATAGCTTAAATAAATCAAGGAGTTGATAGTTCTACTCCAAAATAAGCAGGGAGAATGACACCTGCAAGGCTGGCCAGAAACGTTAAGTTTAGAAGGGAAGTTTTTCCTCAACAGTAAGGGCAATTTGACAATAGAACAGCATGGCAAGATATGTCATTGTGGAAACTTTTAAAAATGAAACTGTCTAGGTACAGCATAGCTTGCGTTAAGTGTAGGAAATTAGATGTGCTGCCCTGTGTCCCCTGTAATCCTAGCATCAAGGGCAGGGGTGGGCAAACTACGGCTAGGATGACCAGACAGCAAGTGTGAAAAATCGGGACGGGTGTGGGGGTTAATAGGAGCCTATATAAGAAAAAGACCCAAAAACCGGGACTGTCCCTATAAAACCGGGACATCTGGTCACCCTAACTACAGCCCGTGGGCCCAATCCGGCCCCTCATGACTTTGGATCCGGCCTGTGGCCCCCGGGGCCCTTGCCTCCAGGCACTGCCCCCCGTGGCTCCCATTGGCCAGGAACAGGAAACCACGGCCAATGGGAGCTTTGGGGGAGGTACCTGGAGGCATGGCAAGGGCAGCACATATGGAGCCCTCCTCCAGGGGCCGCAGCGCTTTCTGGAGCGGCGTGGGGACAGGGCAGGCATGCAGGGAGCCCGCCATTGCCCCGGTGCGTGCCGCTGCCACCCTGGAGCCCGAACCCCTCCTGCTCCCTGCCCTAAGCCCCCTGCCTGCACCGCGCACCCCTCTTGCACCTCAACTCCCTGCCCTGAGCCCCCCTGCTGCACCCCTGTTCACCACAACCCCCTGCCCTGAGCCCCCTCCCTCAGTCCGCACCCCTGCCCTGAGCCCCCTCCTGCACACCGCACCCTCTCCCACACCCCGCACTCTCTCCCACACCCCAACCCCCTGCCCGGCCATGCATACAATTTCCCCACCCAGAGGTGGCCCTCGGCCCAAAAAGTTTGCCCACCCCGATCTAGGGATTTATAATATGAATACATCCACTGAGCAGTCCTCAGTATTTTTTTTGTCAGCTCTTTCAGACCAACAATTAATATGTTGGAAATTAAAGCTGATTTTTCCAAAGCACCCTAAAAGAATTGAGCACGCAAATCTTACTGAAATTCACTCTGATTTACTCACTTGACCATAAATTAGTTGTTATTGAAGCACTGTCATTTATTAATGCAATTTTCATTGCTTGATGAATACCTAATACAGTATAGGTATATAAAGCTTCCCTTTTGCTTTAAGAAACTATCATAATAAATTTGTTCTAGTATTTGCACACAGTCAGTTCTCTGTAAACTCTAAATATCCTTTTTGAGAGGAAAAGGAATTTGCTAATGTCACTCTACTCTAGGGGCACAGAATTTTCCTAAGGAGGGAGTCCATGGAGAAGATTTTTCTCCAGTAGGATGCCTGTCCTGGGGCAAAGAATCCGCAGTGTGCCCCACAGGCATGGCTCAGCTTCACATACAGCTGACAGGGCAGACACAGCTGCAGGCAGTTTTGTAGGGCTGCAGCCAAGGAAGGAAGTGCTGGAATGCCCAGGGCCCAGAAGCTGAGCCATGCCTGTGAGAGGCCCCTGGTGCCAGGGCAGGGCACAGGCCAGAGAGCACAAGGGGAATTACTGTGCAGTCTGCGGGCCCCCAGCTCCCTGTGGAAAGCCCCAGTATCAGGGCTGCAACCCCCACTACCTCCCCACCAAGGGAAATGAATTTGGGGAAGTACTGGGGCCTTCCCTGCCAGCCCACAGCACCAGGATTTTGGCAGGGGCTTTCTCATTGGGCAGGGATGTGGCACTCCAGCCTGGTACTCCTGTATGTGAGTCCCAGGCTGTGAGTCCCAGGCTGCAGTGTTGCCCCATACTTAAAGCCCTACCAAATTCATGGTCCATTTTGGTCAATTTCATGGTCATGGGGCAGGGATAGCTCAGTGGTTTGAGCATTGGCCTGCTACACCCAGGGTTGTGAGTTCAGTCCTTGAGGGGGCCACTTAGGGATCTGGGGCAAAATCAGTACTTGGTCCTGCTAGTGAAGGCAGGGGGCTGGACTC